AGGGGGCGGGCGTCGCCACACTGTTGTAAAAGGGGAAATCGCCACACTGCCGGAAAGGAAGGCGGGACCGGAAATGCGCATGTGCGGGCGGAGCGGCGCGCCCCCTCCGCTGCGCGGGGGGTGAGCGCGCATGCGCGGAGCGCTCTGTATGAACTGTGAGGGGGGAGGCCGTAATGGCGGGTGAGGCAGGGTGCTCCGCTGGCAGACTGCATGCAGGGTATTTGTTGCTTTATAGGCTACGGGGGAAAGTGTATTAGGCTGAGATAAGCTGTAGACGCTATAGAGAGGGAGATAAAGTACAGTACATAAAGGGGCCTTCAGGAGAGCTGGGGAAGGACTTTTTACTAGGGCACGTAGTGGCAGGATGAGGGGGAATGGCTATAAACTGGAAGAGGGCCGGTTTAGATTAAACGTTAGGAAGAAGTTTTTTACTTTGAGGGTGGTAAGGCACTGGAACAGGTTGCCCAGAGAGGGTGAGGCCCCATCCCTGGAGGAGTTCAAGGCCAGGCTGGACGGGGCCTTGGGGAACATGGGCTGGTGGGAGGTGTCCCTGTCCACGTCAGGGAGGTTGGAACTGAATGATCTTTAAGGTCCTTTCCAACCTAAACCATTCTATGATTCTATGATATCATGGCCCTTGGCCTTATAAATAGTGTGAGGCCTGTGCTGGGCTGCTTCTTGCAGAGAGTAAGTCCTCAAAGCCCTTGAGCTTGTGGGGGTGGCCTGGGTACCTGTCACTCTTCTTGGGGCTGCTTTCCCACCAGGGTGGCAGCTGGTGAGGTTCCCTCCTATGTGGCATGGGGATTTAAAGCTGTAAATCCTTTCTGAACAGCTTGCTGTGGTCATGCAGAAGCATGATGTTTTGTGTGTTAAAGGTTCAAAGCTCAGTGGGAGAAATGATTAGTTCTTTGAAGGAAACAATTTTATTTACATGAGAAGCAGTGGAGAAAGTGATGTAACAATTTTTCAAGGTTGTAGTGCTGTCTGGTTGAGAACTTAGCACCTCCATGATTGCAGACCCTGCCTGCCTGGAGAGTTCCCTGTGTCCGTGGTGTTTCCAGGAAAGCCTTACAAATTTAGGCTCTTACAAAATGCAACCTAATACATATTAACAGGAGCTTCGTTTAACAAAATATCTTTGCACTGTTTGTAGAAGTATCCTGATGGAAAATGCCAAGTGCAGTGTGCTGTTAGTAAGCGGAACTGCATGTCATTTGCAGGCATAGCTGTAGGCAGAATGCAAGGAGAAACTAGTAGTGTCTAGGGCCTGATCCTGAAACTACTGTTGGATTTTGTCCTTGGACCTTCAAAAGCTCTGGTTAAGGTGTGAAGATGGGACTCCAGGCAACATACTTTACCAACAAAGGCACCAGACTGCAGATTTCCATATGAGTTCAACATCCTACACTTGTACCTCTAGATTATTGTTAAGAAGCGATGAGCTCTGAAGAAAGTAAACGCTCTTGTTGATTGAAGTGTTGTGTAGCTTTTTCTGTGCTAGAATACCTTACCATTTAGGGGTAGGATGTAATCTTGCAAAACAGTTTCTAGTAGCCAGAGGAGGAGAACACAGTAAAAAATCTGAAATGTGTGGTTTTTCATATATGTTGTTGCTCTTCCGGTTACAGGAGGTGCTGAAATAAATTTTAAGGCACCTAATCAATTCTGAATCCACAGAGATTGTCCACAGAGACAATGATCTGTTTGAGGGTCTGGAATAACCGTTCTACCTCCTGATAGCTTTCCCATAAGGCCATTTGGAAACGTTTTACTAGTGGAATAGACTCCCAAGGGAAGGAGTGAAAGTCATCTGCGAAGTTGGTTACAACTAGGTTGTGCAAAGCACTGGGGAACATGGGGTGTGCAACAGTCCTGCCACTCCTTCACAGCGAACTAAGTGTGACCCAGTGTGACCTTCCAGTTGACCCTATATGTGGTATTCTGTGCAGTGATACTGAGCTTACAGCAGAGTGTATGCCAGGAGATTTCACTGCAAAATCTGTCACATAATTTCTTTCATGTGGTAAGCTATTATTTTCTATACAGTGGGAGAGAATCTGCTGTGAGGCAGACAAGGAATAACCTTTTTATATACTTTTGCTGGGCAGATATAAGCCTTTTGGAATTTGCATCCCAAACAAGCATAACGGTGTCTGGATGGTAACTCCAAAGTCCTCTTTCACTCACCTGATGATGGCTGTAGGGAATGTCCTGCTTCAAGGTGAAACCCAAAACTAGGTCCCAACAAATCTTTTAGGCTCTGAGCGCTTAGTTCCTACACAGGAAAAATAATAATATGAGAATTAGGTACATTCATACAAAATTTTGTGGAGTTGCTCATTCAGTAGTTACATACTAGAGACTTAAGCTGTATAGTAACACTTGGATCATGTTAGCTGTTCCCAAGCAAAGTACAGGTAGGATTGTGTGTGAACCTGGCCCTGTTCTAGACAGAGATGATGGTGTCTCCAAGGCAGAGCTAGCAGCAGTACTCAATTTTACTATATGTTATGTTCATTTCTTCTGAATTAAGGCCTATGAATATATTAGTGACCACCATGGGGTAGTTGGAGGCAAATTTGCTGACATCTTGGGCTGTGATTTGGCCTTTGTGTAGGAAATTTTAATTCCTCTGAAGCCCGTTACAACATACTGTTACCAAGAATGAACTGTGGCATATCTGATCGCTCTGTACAGATTTTCAGCTCAGTACCTTAAATTTGGCGTTGAAGTAAACAAGATCTTGCGTGGAGGATTCTTGTATGAATTTCCCAAGATTTATGTCAATCCAGTTTCTCATTCCTCTTTGGATGTCACAGGCAATCCCTAGAAAGAGGAAAAACCTATGGGTTTATTAACAAGGCAGTGTTACAAACTAAGACAACCCATGTCCTTTCAGGGCAGCCATGATGATGGTAATGAAAAGCACAGAAGTAGGGCATCATTCCTGTGGGTGTTGACTGTTTTAAATTATTTCTTGAGTTAAGAGACTGTATCGGAGCCAATTCTAACTCTGGGAAATATCCCCATGCAGTGCAAGTAGGACCCACAGACAGGACCAGCTCCAAGGAGACTTTAAATCGAATCTGGACCTGCTCTATTCCTGCTCGGTGAAGTCGGCTGCAGCCACATGGACAGCTGAGTGAAGGTAGGAACGCATGACTGATGTTTTGTAGCCTGGAAACAAACTCTCTTATCACTCTCTATCCTTTGGACTTTAGAATTATTCTACTTCTTTGGTGCTGTTACCTGTTGAATGTGATTGTTGGCTCAGGTAGGTTTTGATGTAGCTGTTATATATGTCGATTTTGTTGGAAGGTGAAAGGGACTCATAAGCGATGTTGAATCCTTTGACACTGGGAAATAAAAGAGGATATTTTTAGAAAGGAACCGCATTTGTTTGGAGTTTTAAGGAGGTCGACCCATTGTTTCCAAAATTCTGCATGGCCTGGGTGGTACCTGAGGCTGTCCACGGAAGAGGATCGTGAATATTTCCATTTATATGAACAGAAAAATATTTTAGAATATATGGGACTTGCTCACAGCTTTCCAACAGTGACAAGCAAATTAAGCGACCTGGAAGATCTCTATGCAGTTCCTGCCTAGGGGTTCTACATTGGTTTCAGCTAATAAACAGAGCACTAAGAGAGTCAGAGCTCAGTCCTTCTGAGTTAGAAATCCAAAATGTGGAAGTCTCAGCTGAAACACTAGCTTTTAACTGGAATGCTGTCAGAGTTACCTGGCAGCCTGTCAGAATTACCTAAGAATCATGGTAAACTCACATTGCTTGATAGGAATCACAAGAGATGTTGATCCCCAGCCATCTAAGATAGGTTTTGTTCATACCAGACAGCAATAAGGGCAGCTGCTGCTGGAACCAAGTTGCCCAGCTTTCACTGGAGAAGTTTTGGAGTTCAGGTCTTAGCTTTAGTAGTACTGTCTTCAGTATCGCGTCTCTAACCAGCATGCTGGGTAATGAGGTCAGATTTACCTACGGTATAAAGAAGAGCAAACCCATCAATATGGCTTAGGGTTCTGGATAAGCATTTAAATTAGAAGGGGCTATTAAGGGAAGATCTGCAGCATTATCATAACGAAATTAAATTAAATTGTCTGTCCCTCTCCAGGGTTTAAGTCTATTTTCTTGCTCTCTAGCTTGCCCCTTGCTGAGATCTATCCTTATAAAGTTGTCTAGTATTTACCACAGCTCCGCTCTGCCTTTTCAGCTCTGTTACGTGTAGACCGCTGCCATTACATTCAGAGTGCAACGTGAGCTGTACGGTCGAGGCAGTTAATCATGGCATAGACCTTCCCCTAGTACAGTGACGTGGGAGTCGGAGAATACCTGGGATCTGTTAGGACTGACCTGGCGAGCACACACGTTAAACTGGCTCATGTATCTGTTGATTGTGTCGTAGGATCCACACTCAAGTATTGCCAGGATTGAGAGTGTATCTTCCAGGCTGGTCAGCGTTGAGTTAACAGTCAACTGTGCCATCTCTTCTGGGGTATTGAGATCAGGAACTTTAAACTAAGGAGAAACACAGGTAAAAGAGTTGTCCAAGGGCTATGGCCAGCAAGTGGCTCTAAAGCAAAGTCCTCCACCAGACAGTCAGGGAGAGAGAATGTTTTGGTGGTACCACAGATGTTTGTGGGCAGTGCGCTTTGAGGAGAAAAAAATTGTCTATGCCAGGGCAGATCCACATTTCCTTGTGGAACAGTGAAGTGGGAATAGTTTGGTGCTACAGCTGTTAGGAGGATGAGGATGAAAACCCCTTCAATTTTGTGTAAAGAGCCTTCCAGGGGAGAATGTTAGGTATCCCCCTGGAAATAGGCTGTTACGTATGAGTAGGAGTTCCTTGCCTTTGAAGTGTATAGTTACTTAATTAGTTTAAGCATACTCTGTACCTATTAAGCTTTAAGAAGAATTTGATAAAACTGTCTGAAAACCTGTAGTTGGTTAACACTTGTTGATTTGAGATCTGCCAAGGAATATTCCTTTTGTTCTTCAGCTTCCGCTATCTCCTGTGTGCAGCATCCATCTGCAATAGCCCTTTCTCTTGCACCTCATCACTTCCATTTCCTTTCTTCTCCCACCTTTCCCTGCTCTGTCTCGACCGTTTTCTTACTGCCTTCTTTTCCACGCTAATCCCTTTGGCAGGGATGACTTGGTTGAGACCGTTCATAGGGTGTTACCTGCTCCAGTCTTTAAGACCCTAAATAAACTGACAAATAATGATTACCAGGTTAAAGAGATTTAGGTAAGATTGGTTGTAATTAGTGCTTAGCTCAATTGTTTGTAAAATTGAATGTATGCTGAGTCTGTATCTCTCTCTCTCTCTGTCATACTAGCTGGTAGATTTTTGTTCCAGAGATTGTGACACCTTGTGTTAGCCCAGACAGTACTGTCTGCTCCCTGGGAATTTAAATAAAAAGCAACAGGAAGCTGAGCTGTGTAATGCTGGTGTAAATGCCATATCTTCTTTAGCAAGGTAAAGATGCGGGACGTTGCCAGACTATGTTTGTGTGCAGTTGTCTACCCAGTTAAAAAGCAGCCTTGTTCTGAAATGTGATTCTGTAAAAGTGGTATTGAAGTAACGTTACTGTGTTTTCTTTCTCCTCATATAAAACTTTATTTTGCTGAGGGGGGGAGGGGTGCTTTTTTTCTAGATGCTCTGAAAAATTTACACCTAAAGACTTTCAGCACGGTATTTGAGAGCAAAGCAGTCATTACAGAGCATGCCATGCCGAGGAGGTTAGATGAATGAAGGCTTTCCCCAAGCCCTTATAGGTTTTGGATCATGCGTTCTGATACAGCATCGTTCCTCACAGGGTGTAGGTGGATCATAAGAGAATAGGAAATGACATCAAAGCAATGGTAGAGTCTCCAGTTTGCAAGCCTTTTTGAGGCATTGTTCATAGACCAGAAGCCTCTCACCGTGGCTTTGAAAGAAATTCCTTTTTTGATATAGTGTATGTTCAAAGATAGAGAGAGGTCACTTTCCGTGAGAAAAATGAAGGATTTTTAGTGTGGCAGGGTTTGGCAGGGAACTTGCTAAGCAGAGTGAATGTCTGCAAGACAGGCTCATCAGCGTTTCTCCTTTGACAGCTTCAGCTGCAGAATGAATGGGAATATTGGATTGAGCTGCAGTGGTGCAGGTGGCAAATGTTAACACAGAGAAGTTGTATTGTTCAAAATTCTGCTGGAAGTTGCTGACGTGCTGTGGATGCAGTAGGCTAAGATGTTTTGTATAGAACAGTATGTTTATCTTTTGACTGAACTTCAAGTAAATAGGGGAATGGTTGCAAATTTTGATAATGTTGGTGCTAAGGATCAATCTAAGTGTCAGAACGGGGAAGGTTTTTTTCATCAGTATAACTGCCTTACAAAAGCTCTGTGTGTCTGCCTGGTATATGGTGATGGGGTGTGCTTTCACTGTCTCTGTAAGAAGTTAGTAACTGGTTCATGTTTTGGGATTACAGGCTTTTTAGTTTAGTTCAACCAGTAGCAACTAGTATATTTGTACCACTACCTACTTTATGAATTTAGTTTAAGTACCATCAATACGATTGTCTGAAACAATATGAAACATACCAAGTGGGTTTTTCAACATTACTTTTATTGATGATTGTATAGGTACTGTCACACAAATTCTTTAAGCAAAATCAGCATTTTAATAAATACTAGCACTGGCTTACAGAGTGTATGAAGTTAAAACATTGTCTACGGCATGTTTTACAGCTGTGCAGGGATTATTTTTTTTAGAACATCATATAAAGAGGAAATCTTTGTTTTTCACACAAGAGCAGAATTGTTGGATTTTCAAGTTGTGCTTGAATTATTTCATTAATGCAATTTCTGTCTTTGCTGTGAAGCCAATATTATAATAACATTTAGATATATACATCCCAATCAAATATTAGTCTAGTAGGATTCAATTCCTGTTGGTATTACTGCTGTTGCCCTTTGTCACGTCTTTTCTTAATGCGTCATTGACATTGTTGTAGTTACAGCTTGGTATCATAATGTAGGCAGCTTGAAAGATTAATTCAGCATGTCCTCAGGATGTGCAACCATTGCTACTGATTAGACTAAACTCAGAATACCAGAATGTATCTGGTATTTTAGTAGACCTGAGCAAATAACTTGTAGTATTTTTGAAGACAAAGTGTAATTTGAAGAGTCATTCTCTGAAGGAATTAGGAAAGGCAATGCGCAATTTTACTGTAATGTTTAAGCCAATTTGATTTTAAAGATAATGTAAAAGAAGTTCCCCTCACCACTCATAGCGGAATATGCCTCTACATTTCAGACATATCCCAGGCTCTTAGCATTGGTTCTGATAATCAGTGATAACAATTGATATCTTTCATCAAAGAGAGGCAAGCAGCTGCAATGTGTATTTCAACCCCTGATCCTGCACATGGGTCATCTCTAGTAACCTCTCCCATATAAACCCAAGCTGATCCCTGCCTTAAGAGATGCAGCCACTGTGTGAGGAATCGCCTGCATCTTGCCCTTGCTGATTACTGTAAATGCAGAGCCCAGGAGGCTATCTGTTTTGCGTGGAAGCTGGTGCTAATTCTACTGTTGTTCAGTGCATAGACTAGTAAAACTTACTCCAGCGATGCCTGGGTAAAAGGTTTGAAGTTCACTTAGTTTAGCTACTGAACAGATCTCTCCCAGATTCTTTTGCAGCCAATCTTTAGTCCCAGTTGTTCCATCCTGGCACGCTGATCCTGTAACCAAAACAGATCCAAAGAGTTAAAAGCCACAACATATACTGAAGGGGGCAGCTAGGTGTCCTTCATGTGAGTAATTAAATATCTGCTAACAGAAGAATGGCTAATCTTCTTCCTATTGCTAGTGCAGATTCTGATCTTCTGCACTCTGATTCACTTCCAGACTGGGGAAATAGTTACACCAAATGGAAATCCTATTTCTTTGCTTATATCCTATTCATTCTCTAATATCATACCTCCTCACACCAGTATTCCCTGTAGCTTCAAAAGGAGAAGTGATTTCCCTTCCTCTTTCACAGAGTTGTTGTGAACTTCCCAGAGTTATAATGAACAGCAGAAGTGACTGAACCTCAGTGTTGGGAAGATGGGTGGTTGTTAGGTGTGAAAATCTTCAGTGTTTGGAATACAGAAGATGCTGCATAGGAATACTAGTGCTTTACTGAGAACTTACGTGTAGTCACCTTACCTGAGTCTGTAAACTGGGCTGTCAAATAAGCCTTCTGAAACTCATAGACATCGTGTTTCTTCCTTGCTGACAACACTGGGTAGACTCCATCAATTGCTGCAGTGCTGGGGAGCAAACCACATAACAGATGATTTCTATGTGGGTAAAGCAGCAGAGATCAGTTTAGTTGAGTGAGAACTTCCTAATGCTGACAAACCAAAGGTGGCAAGTGCTAGTATACGGCCCAGTTTTCTGCTGGGCCATATAATTTATGGTGTGCTTGAGACTAAGGATTAATATTTTGGTATCCATCTACAAGAAAATGCCCCCTTTAGAGCAGAGTCATTGACTGATTTTTCGTTACACCCAAGGATAAACGTGAAGGGAAAAAGCAGCTCTTGCCTGATCAATAACTAGTGATGCAAGAGTGACTGCTCATGTAGCAACACAAAGCTAAAGCAGCTGCAGCCCTGCAGGCAGTCACTTACAGAGCTTGGTAGTATGGGCACGGCATGCTGAGGGGCAGCAGCTCCAGCACTGTCGCGTTCACATGGGGAAGCAGAACGCGCAGTCTGTGCAGCCACGTAGATGTGTCTTCTAGGGACATGTCAGTAATTTGTGGGAAGATGATCTCAGCCGTCATCATTAGCATTGTTTCTCGAACTTTAGTGCTTCCTAGGAAATCAGAGCTCTGAGGAAGGAGGAAGAAATTGAAGCAGGTGATGAGCAGAGCTGTTAGAAAGCCTTGAATAGTGAAGTTAAGCTGAAAAAGTGGTGAAGGAAAAATTGGCAAAATAACCACAATTTCTCTTCTTTGTTGCTCTCCTCCCCTTCCTTCCTCTCCTGTTTAACAATAAAAGTTGGAAATATGGCCTGACTGTGGCCTTGTTGGGGAGTTGACCTTGGCAATTTAGGTTTTCTTTTGTCAACAGAGTTGGACAGCGAAGCAAGCCAGGTGCTTGAATTTCCTTTCCCTTGCACTCCCACAGCCACTGCTTTTGTTACGACAGTCAGCAGAGTGGTCACACTGTGTATACAGCAAGGCTGGGGCATGCTCAGGCTTCTCAGCTTGGCTTATTGTTAAGTTGTCCTCAGCCCAGCAGGACAAGGGCAAGCAGCGGAGCCTCTCTCTCACTCACTCGTACCCAGATGTTTTAATGGATGTTAACAAGTTTAGGGGTCTGGTCCAGAACCTTCCATAAGTCGTTAGACTATCACAGAGTAGCAATAGAAAAACCCTTACTGTTTGTGTCCTGGCTCTAGGTTGGAGTGGTGGGTGTGCTTCCCCACGTTCCGCTGAGGAAAAACATTTTACACTGGTCTGTGCACAGAAGTTAAACCACAGTAAGGGCTGGACTGAGATAAGATCATACTGGAGCAGGAGGAACTCCTTCTAGATCATCTTCCAGATTTATTTCATATCTGGCCATGAGAGTCCCAGATTTGGAAGTCTGAAAGTTCACCCGTGAACTGCTCTGCTCCACAGGAGTCTGTTACCACAGGCGCTTGGGTTAATTACCTTCAGGACAAAAGTGTTGAAGTCCTCCAGGAAGGCACTGAGGTACTGGAGAGGCTCCTCCTTGTTCCCAATTACCTCCAGGACCATCTGGATGGCTGAGGGGCTGTAGATGGTCTTGCTCTGAACAGTCAGCTGGGCCAGTGCCTCAGCTGAGAAGAGGTCTAGGGAGTCATGCTGAAGAAGATGGAGCACAGAGTGAGGCCTGGAGACCAATCTGCAGCATTCTCCCCCTGCTTGTCTGTCTCAGCCCACCTGACCTTTGACGTATAAGGAACATTAACTTCTCTCTGAACAGGGTTTCAAACAACAAGCAGTGCACGGTGTTTACTGGGATTAAATTTAGTAATAGCTGTTCTCTGCTGCTAGACAGGTGATTTGTGAGAATGTTCTCAGCAGACCATCTGTAATTTCATATCTGCTCTTCCTGTGTCTTATCAGCCACTGCTGTTTGGAGCTTGTCATTGAAATGCTTGTCTTCCTACGGAATTTATATTCTCCTGATAAGATGGTTATCTCCTAGAGGCAGTGCTTTTGACACTATTTTAGCATTAAAACTTAAGAAGAATAAACTTAATGAGAAAAAAATGGAAGCACATAGGAGAAAATGAGCAACACAACCAACGAACTAATCCAGTTGAACTCTATTCCTGTCAGCTTGTTTAATGGCTAAGAATAAAATGCCAAATATTTTGTATCTAGCCCTTACCCCATGGAAGTTGCGCTTCAGTGTTGCAAAATCTGAGTAGGATCCAAAAGCAGTGAATAAACCAAAATACTGTAGCAGCCATTCCCTGTCTGCTGCAGTGCCCTGTGTGCAGGCGGAGCCTACAAAAGGAAAAGCAAAGCTCAGAAGATACGTGGTTCCTTGCACTGGATCGCTGAGGCATGTAACACTGTGAGTCCCCATTGGCAGTGAAATATATAGTATAGTTCATGTTGCAAGCTCCCTGTGGGATCCAAACGCTACCAGACAGGGAAAGGGGGAATCGTTAGCTTTTGAGCATACTGGGGCTGCCAGATTCCTTCAATGTCAGCATGTTCTAGTCTCATTCTTGATACAGCTTCTGCTTTTTGACCTCAGCTCTCTATGCAATCTGAGAGAGATTTCCATCTTCCAAAGAAGAGTATGGTACCTTTCTCTGACCACTGTGAGCTGAAGGGCTAAGCAGCAGGCTGAGGAGTGAGGGAGGGCTCCATTAAGAATCAGGAGGAGATTCAGCACATTTATCCTCCAGGGAAGCAGCTTATCCAAAGGCAGAGATGCTTCTCTGTCTGCTGACTTCATGGGACCCTGAAGGCCTAGCATTTAACCATCAGATTGCTAAAATGATAAAATGACTCTTCCACAGAAAAAACAGGTCTGCCTGTCACCTGCAATCAAGGACATTTTATGGTGGCTGAATCTTTCCACCTTTTGGTGTTCCTGAATACTTGGAGACAAGCAGGCCCAGACATTTGTTACCTGAGTTCTGCAGTTGGAAGTGAAGAACTCTCTTTATGAAGGAGTAGATGTGCTCTGGATTCTCATAGGGCCCTTTGGCTTTATGTTCGTTCAGGATCTTCACTCTGCAGGACATGGATAGTCAGGGTAAGACAGCCACAACCACCTAACCCACAGCCACTGAGACAGAACCCGCAGAACACTCTACCAGTGAGTAGAAAGGTGTTAGGGCTGCATTCGGGGGATACTTCCACACCCTTGATGCCAGGGAACAGACACACCAATTGGAGTGTGACCAAAATTGCTTCTTCAGGAGATTAGGCTCTTTGGTTGGTTTTATAAGGATTTGCGGGTGTATGTGAGTGAAGCAGTCTCTGCTTAGGGGCTTGTGTTTGTGGCCTGCAATGTGAAACTGCAGCGGCAGTCAAGTAAGATCATAATGGTATTCACCGAATGAGAATCTCAGGCTTGGCACTGGGTGTTTGGGATAGTGGAAGCTGCTCTCCTCACCCAGTGGTTGGGCTCCCATCTTTACAGGCAAAGATAGAAGTAAGAAGAGTGTCACTGAAATGGTAATGGACTTGATACCTACATGGCTGCAAGAGAGTTGCATGTCATGTCACTGGGTAAGAAGCCGAGATTCTGTGCATTGAGGCTGCTCAGGAAGAGGCCAAGCCTTCCTCCAAACCAGGCAATGTAGTCCTCAGTAGAGAAGAGCTCAAATACTGTGCTTAAGTGACAGAAGATCTGCCCCAGGATGAATCGTCTCACATCACCGTGAGGAAGCTGAGATAGATTACGCTTCAACCAGAAGAAAAAGACATCATTAAAAGTGCGCAATGCAGTTAATATTAAATGGGACTGGTAAAAAGGAGTCGAACTGAGGGCCAAGAAATACGCTACAGTTCTGAGAGAACCCTACTGGGCACCCATCTTAAGACAAGAAGATGTAATTAATTTAATTTGCAAATGCAAAAATTGTGGCTGTGTGTGCAGTTTTGGTGGTTTGTCTGCTCACTTGCATGTGGGGTGAGCAGTGACTGTGCATCCAGGGCTCGCCCCTTCCTGGGCAGTTAAGGGTGCATGTACACAAACTGCCTGTGTATCCTGCTCATCTCCAGCATGTGGCCTATGGGCACAGGATCCTGGGGGATCTTTCGAGGATGCTCATGGCTATAGGTAGTGAAGGATACAGGGCTCTTACTGTTTGATCAAGGACATCATAATACAGTGCCTGTACAATGACTCCTTCATTCTTTCCCTGAGACTTTTTAGTCTTTGTGACAACACTGAGGTTCCTGCTGGAACAGTATTAGAAAGCAGCAGTATTGCAGAGAATCTGTTATCCCTACCAGGATGGGACCCAGACTAATTAAGAGTTGTGGCCTCTTTCTACACCTGGAATCTCAACTCCTACATCAGCATGTACTTCATGTGTAAACTGTTTTATTCCAGCCTCCTGAACAGGCGGTGAAGTTGCTACCTGCATTGCAGCTTCATTGAATGCATCCATGAAATCCCCAATGGTGTGAGAGCTCAGAGAGCTGAAGACCTTGCCTGCTTTGTCTATGTCACGCAGGACATCGCTAGCCAGCGTGTAAGCTGCCAGTTGCTCTGGGGTGAGTCCTGCCACAGCATCAACCTGTGAAATCAAATGTTAAAATTACTGGCCTTGCCTTATGGCAGGAGTCTTTGCTAGCTGTGAAAGGCTGTCAGGCAGGATTTGGTCCTTGCACTGGGCTCTGTCTTGCAGAGTTACTTACAATGCCGAAATCTGCGTTCATGTCAGTCAAGTCTCTGTATGTAGCCAAGGAGCTGAAGGAGCCCAGGTTTGTTTGTAGCCAATCCAAGCTTCCCCTGGTGTTCTCGACGCATGGGCCACCTTTTAAACAAAGCATAATTCAAGAGTGATATAACAAACAGTTCAGTCCCGATTCTACTGTGTGAATAATATGACTGTGCTGATATAGGAGTTGCCCAAAACGTTTAGGTGCCTCAGTCCCTTAGTGATACTGGCATCACTGAAGTGACTAATGCCCAATGTGTACCTTTAGATGTGTAAGTATACCTGGTAAGGAAATAGCATTCCCATACCTTTTGGCAAAGGTGTGGGGATTAGAATGTTATATTTGGGAGATTCTCAGATATTGTGGTAATGGCAACCAGAGAGGTACCAATGATGTTCCAGTTCTCAGCTGATGAACTGCCACTGCAGTGAGGGGCAATGATTAACACCAGGACTTGTCCTAGCCTTAAGGAGAAACACAGCTGCTTCTGCAGATGCTTTTGCTCCCCTTCTCTCCTTGCTGTAGAGCAAAAAGCCATTGACATCTTCCAATTTTAATTGGATTGTCTTTTTCATGGGTAAATGCCCAGCATCCTGTAATTTTGTGAGTATAGTACTGCTTCTGACAGAGATGCAGGGAGGTTACAGGAGGTAGAGAGTGCAGGACACCTTCAGCATACCTCCTTGAGAAGCCTTGGCAGACAGGTAGCTCTTTGCAAAGCTGTAAACGTCCTGGTGGCTAGCAGGGGACATCTGTTGAAAGCTGCCCTCTAAGCCACTCATTCTGTGAGAGAAGGGAAAGCAGGAGGTTCGTTATAGCAGTAGAGCCTTGGTTTTGGTGACTGAAGTAGTCAAAAGTTTGTAACATGATTACACACGAGAACTCTGCAGTCTATGGCCTGTTTTCTCAGTGATAACCAAACTTCTTTCTTTAGATGAATTTGCATTGTTAAACAAGCATCATTATGCCAAATTTGTAGTTGGATAGAGATGACACACCCCTGGTCAGAAACTGGAGCTGTGAAAGAATGAAGTTATTGGGAGTGAAAACGGGGAAGCGAGGGTGAGCCTGGGATTTTAAGAACCACGATGTAATTTTGTTTCTGTATTCGGACAGGATCAAGCAGGGCAATGGGAATTCTCTTGCTGTGTGCAAAAGCTGAAGTGAAAAGAAAAGTTGAAGTGTGAATGCAGGCAATGAAGTACTCACATAATTTGGTATATTCTACAAGGTATGTTCCTTGGGATAGCTGCAAGGGCAGAGGCATTTATGCTGCCCAGCCACAAGCTGAGCTTGTTCTGGAACCAGTCCTTGTACTGGGAGACGCTAAAAGTAGGGAACTGGCCTCTGAGTTTGTGAAAGATTGTTCTGAACATGGCATCTCGGACTTGCGCATTTGCCAGGGTTGGTAAGCCTTCCTGCAAAACAAAGCAAGTAAGAACACAAATCAGCTGTGACCTGATGTTGTTTTGTAGCTCTTGCTGTAGCAAGTGTGTGGCTCTGGGTGTAATAACACATTCGACAGAGGAACCGGCTCTGGGAAGATACTCTGTAGGCCCATATGGGCCGAAGCCCAAGAGTTTCTGCGAGACACTATTCTTGCAGTTTACTGTGTATTAAAACAACGTCCCCATGCAAGGGTCAGTATCTCACCTGAGAAGCAGTGGCCACAAACTCGGCAACAAAGGCAGAGATGTCTAGAGCTGGCCTGCCCTCCAGGGAGCCCAGGAGGGTTTCAACCATTCTGGTATCATCCAGGACTCCAGGGTCAAAAAATACGTGGGCAAGCTGGGTAGTGGTAAGATTGTCCCGTACATTGAACTGCAAAACCAATGAGATGTGATCAGAGAGAAGTAAAATGTTGCTAACAAGCAGAGACCTAAGCCATAGAGTTGGCTGGATTCCCCATGTTGGGAAGAAGAGCTCTGCTATGGCTGGACCAATGTCCGTTTACTGACTTAGATCATCTTGGAGTGTGCTCAGACTTGTGCACGCAGGGAGCTGTAGCAAAGCAGGATGCAGGACCTGAGCAAAGGCAAAGCTGTCAGGCCTGAGTCAGGAAACTAACTAACCCCACTGAAATCTGTCATTAATCTGGTGAAATCTTCATAATGAGCATTGGATGCGAATGCCCCCAAGTTTTTTTGCAGCCAGTCCAGACTTGTTTCCTGTCCCAAAGCACATGCAGAACCTGCAGCACAGGAGAACAAGAGAGCGTCACTCGCCTTCCCTCGTGTTTTGCTGGAATGCACAGGAATGCTGAAAACATTTTAGATTTTGGCTCATGTTACCTGTCATAGTGTGTTGGCTTTCAAGGAAGGTCAGTAAAGCGCTGCAGATGCCTTGCTGATTCATGGGCAACAGGGACATGTACACCTGGCTTAAGGAGGACACACTGTGGAGGGAAGTCACATGGGAAAGATTTAATTCCTGCTTTCTAGCTGGTGCCATGATGCTATGGATGGCAGAGAGAAACTCCAGCATAAACAGTTTCATGAAATGAAAGAAAGGAAGGGAAAGCTTACTTGTTATGAAATGGCATGTTGCTTCGTTTCTTACTGGCTGTGATCTGTATGTGAAAGACTGGACTGCCCAGGGCAGTTTGAGAGATCTGTGCCCCAGGGCAGGATTAGCTCTGCAGCACATGTTTGTCTAAGCTGTTGTCAGAAGTCCTTAGAGACTGTGGTAGTACAGCCTCCGCTAGTGATCTCTTTGTGTGCTTCCTGAATCCGTTAACCCCCTGTACAGCTCATGAAATGGGTAATTAGCCTCACTCCCTGTGTTGCCAAGTTAATTTCAGAGTGTTTTCTGAATCCCTAATATACACTGCTAGATCTGAACTATTTGCTATAGATAACGCAAGTCCTGTACAGATGCAAAAAGCAGAGCTGTGCCATGCTAGCCTGTGAGGATACAGTTGTTCCAGAAAAGTGAAATGCAAGACTGGATTGGAAATGTCTATTATGGGCCCAACCCTGCTGTTTGTTTTCCTGTGTCTTTCCTGGGTTAGAGCAGGACTGTTGTTGGCAGCATGGTCTTCCCTGCTTTGCATGGCCCAGACATGACTGTCTGTGAGGTTTCCTTCCAGTGCTGCCCTTTGGAGTTTATTTCTCAGCTTTATCTGTTTCATTAGACGTGATATTTCCTCTCATCTCTTCCTGATATTTTTTCATCTTACTGTTCCTAGTTGCAGTATTTTACAAACAGGTAAAGTAAGTAATAGAAATTATAATTGACTTTGTATTGTATTAGCAAATGTTTTTATTTGCTTTTGCATAGTTTTACTCAAAGGAAGGAAGATCTGACTCTGGCTATTTTGTTTGCCTGATGGAAGATTTCTTTAAATGATATGCTCTTGCACAGATGTTCTTTAGCACAGTGCTGCCCTGGCAATTCCTTGCTCTTTCCTGACAATCCCCTTTTTTATTTTTGCACACAATAAAGAGGACGCTTCCCTTGTGTACTTACAGTGCTCTGAAACTGTCACAACCAGAAATGTGGGAAAGGAAGAGTTCGATGTCCTCCTTGCCAGCACTTGGCACTAGCAGAGTGAGTCTTGCAAGCAAATGAGTCCATTCAGCAGGGCTGAAAGCTGGAAATTCTGCCTCAATATCTCCTGTGAACTGAGTGAGCATCTTTTTCCTCACATCATTATTCTTGATAGTGGTTATTGCTAGCTGAAAGAGAGAAGTAATGAGCATCAGTGAGAAGGCAGGATTAAAAAAGAACACCAGTGCAAAGCCATGGAGAATAGCATTGTAGAAAATGACTCTGAGTGAGTCCCAGAGAAGGGAAGATGCACCTTAGATATGTCCTGTGAACCTGCCATATAGGCAGCCAATACCAATGGATAGCTATAGAGTCTCAGCAGGTGTCCCTGAACATAGTGCAGGGACATTCTGCCACTCCAGGTTTACTGAAGGCACTGTCTGCGCGCTGGCCTCTTGTGACCACTCAAGCACAGGCAGATGTGTGTCTCGGGTGAGAAGTGGCTGTGGGGATCAGCTTCCTCCACAGGGCCACAGATCATGAGGTTCAGTAGTTCTGTTTAGTACAACCTCAGTGTTGCCATAAGCATGCACTTGAGTATCATCCAACCATTAAGTCTTGGGCACTGGTGTTTGAATACTTGGCCAGACAGCAATGCTGAGAGGTTGTACGTGATATGCTTTGTTGCGGTTGTTCATAGTTTGAGACAAAAGTTCAGAAACCACCTTTGAGGGTGTCTTTAAGACTCTGGATAGCTGAAGTCCACACTGCAGTGGGTTTATGCTGGACTTGCAGTGTTAATGCCCCTACCTGGGCTGCGTCTCTGTTGAACTGGTCTAAAAACTGATAGATTTCCTCTGATGGTTTGTTGTGTAGTTTTGCAAGGATCTGACACATCTCCTCTTCCTCATTAATGGCATCAGATGAAAGCGTCAGGGATGCTAGTTGTGGTGGGGATAACTTCTCCAAGACATCCATCTACGTGGAAAGAGACACAAAGCAGACGGCAACCTTTTTAAGCATGTGAGAGTGACTTGTAAATGCTAGTGCTTCTAAGGAGACTCAGGACAAATCTGCAAGGCTGGAATATCCACAGGACTTGTAAATTCCTTTTTCCATCAGGATGTGTAATATCCCATTTCTGAATATTACGGTAGCTCTGCAAGTGCCACGAGCCAGTGAAAACCAGTAAAAATGTTTGTGATGATTAGACACTTAAGCCACAGTATTTTTTTTTTTTAGGGAAAATGAGCCATCACCTCCCATACTGCGTGGAGCATAAAGGCATTGCAGATGCTGGCAAAGTAGTGTTTCATGGTGGCATACTGCAATGTTCTCACAGTGAATGCTAGTGAAAAAAAAAAAAAAACCACATTAAAAATACTTACTCCCACAAAGTGTTTGTTCCAAGTGACTAAGTCCTGATAGTCAGCGTATTTGCTAAAATTTCCAAGATTTACTTCCAGCCAGGTCTGAGTGCTTTGGGTTGCACTGCCGCATGCAACACCTGGAAAAATAATGACACTGGGAGTGCTGGGGACTTCATATTCCTTCCTGATGTTCTCACTGGAAACCCTAGTGACTCTTGCAAATTCCAATTAAACCTTTGCAGATAGTAGAACGCTTTGAATTCACATTGGTATGAGAGACCAGAATCTTCGTTATTAAGTAATAACATTTTTCTGCTGTTGTATAACTTTGAGCTTATTTATCTTTAACAGTGCTGGGCAACCTAATGTTGTGGCTGGCAATGGTTAAACTTACTAGTGAGCCATCCAAAATACAGGAGTTGTGAGAATCCCATCAATAAGAGGAAAATGCCATAGTGTTGGAACAACAATGTAAGTATATGCTTCCTTTCCCTTTCTTGTCATTAAGAGCATCTCAGACATTACTACAGAGATTCCCGCTGCTTCTCGAGCCCAGAGTGTGCTGGAAAGCTTTCAAAGTACATTCCCAAATTAAGACTTTTTATGCCATTACCTGATTTCACTTTTGATGTCAAGAAGGTTTTACAGAATCCAAATACATGGGGAATGTTTTCTGTGGGGATGCCAGCATAGATTTTGTTGAAACCCTTCAACCTGCAGGAGGGAATGTCGGAATGGTCATGGGAAGTATTTTAATTTAATCAAATCAGAATTTTCCAATAACAAAAACTTTTCTATTAGAAAAGTTTCAACAGCTTTCATCATTATTCATTATCACAAGACCTTATCAGAGAGGTTCTTAAGAAGTAACTACAAAGTATCTTCAGATCGGACTGAACGTAGCTCGTCAATATGATAAGGCCATTTTTATTTTTTAAAAATTATGCTCTCTACTTGGTGCAGTTGCTTAAGATAAAGGTCACAGAATTGCTCAGGCTGCTCTAATTAAAATCTTGTTGAGTTTCAGTGAATTTTGCATACAAGCCTGAAAACGCTGAGTGTTTTACTGTGGTTACTTCTGCTTTTCATCAGGAGCTCTGCTTAGGAATGCGTGAATATATTGCCAGAAAGTCATATACAGCGTAAATAAATAGAAATACTCTGTTAAGATAAGTGTGTATGGAACAGATGACTCACATTTGCTGATAGGAGTCACATGAAATATTGACAGGTATCTCTGCAACAATCATCTCATTCACTGCATGCAACACGTTTCGTAGAGTATCTTGAAACCAGTCAGCAAAGCCAGCAGCTCTCATTTTGGGAAAACTAGGAGCTATTTTACGCAAGGCACTACTTAGGAGGAGATGGGCAAGGTCGCTGTTATGAAGCTCCACCTGCAATCACACAACACCTTTTCAGTATAGTTGACATGTAATTTATCATACTAAGCCTTCCCAAATTTAAGATGTTGTTCAGGATTATTTCATATCTCTCCCTTCATGCATGGGAAGTCACTGTAAAGTGACTGGGTTGGTAGCACCCAGCGAAGGATCCGAGCAGGGAGCTCTTGGAAAGAGTACTTAGTGCTTGCTGTCGGTCTGTTTTTCCTGAGCTATGCTCAGCTATACTGGTACTTCCCATCACATCGGTATAGACCCTGGCAGGAAGAATAGCTTGGTGTCTGGACAGAGAAACAGAAGATTGCTACAATCCCAAGCCTTTAACACACAGCTGTCCAAAGATTTGACCTGTAGCCTTGTCTCAGGCAGGTTTCCCTCTGATGACTGAGTGATGCTGTAGGATGAGCCCTTCTTTTCTGGAGTCAGGGCTGGGGTTTGAGTATCAGACATCAGTGGGCATTGATTCAAGTAGCTGCAGTGTTTGAGTGGAAAAGCTTTGGAGCACAATAAGGGAAGTTACCGATGCCATGTCATTCAGCGTGGCAAAGAACTTAGCAAGATCTGATGGTGTGCCTAAGTTGTCCATGATGGTGATCACGCTGGTTTCATCAGCCAGAGCCCCTGTTTCCAGCATTAGTTGTGCCAGCTGAGCTGGCGAAAGCTTTCCCAGAGCTGACATCTGAAAAGGAACACAGAAACACCTGTATATTTATAACAGGGATCACTGTCAGTGCTGTGGCAAGAAGTTACAGATCAGCTATGTTTATGTAGAGAGGAGCCAATAATGCTCAGATACAGCAAGCTTCAGTATGTGACCTACCCCGTTGAAATTTGGATTGAGTGAAGAGAACTCGTGGAGAGTGGCATGGGCACTGAAATAGCCATAGTTAGCAGCTATCCATATGCTGCTACTTGCATTTGGGAAACAGGTGACACCTGGAACACAGAAGAGCCCACATTCAGTAAACCAGTCAGCAATTTCCTGAGCTGTTGGTTAGCCTGGAAACAAAGCCTGTCTAGTGATGGGATGGAAGGAACATCAGATCCACTTCTGAATCAGCTGCATTCAACAGGGTGTTAGAGCAAGGGGAGCAAGCACAGTATATCAGAAAACATCTTGTTGTCTGTTGCCTGTCTGATTTGTGTTGGGATTCTTATACCCCTGTCCATTACTGTAGCATCTAGGGACTTGTAAAATTAATTGCAATAACAAGGTCCTAGTGGACTTCACAGAGGATCTACACATTTCCCTTTTTTTGCAGTTAAAAAGCTCTGGATGTGTAAAAAGAAAAGGTCCTGAATGGAGTGTGTGTTCTTACCTTGAGTGTTACGGTAGGTCTCCAGAAAGTTGTGTATTCTGCGATGGATGGAGAGTCTCTGCTCATCTGTGTAATGCTCGTACACTCTGTCCATTGCTTGCACACTGTATCAACGCAAGAGCAGAAGTAGATTATAGGCCAAACACTTGCAGAGAGCACTTTTCCTTTGGAGGAAAAAATAAAGTCCATAGGAAACATAAGCAGAAACTACTAGTGTCAGTAAATCTGAAATGTTTAATTTGGTCTAAATCAAACTGTTCCTTTTCCTCCTTGTTCCCTGGGCAACATCTTGGAAAATAAAATGAAGGTATACTCAGACATTTTATGCTAATCTGATAAATGGTTTTGGATGACGCAAAACTGTTGTGAAGCTAGTACACTAAAAGCAGTAAGATGTCAGATACTCTGGGGGAAGCGACCCTTTTGGTTTGACAGGGTAGCAAAAGCTTGGCCACCCGTAGGGAAGCTGGCTGCTCGTGACTCACAGGTTTTGATGAGACTGGCAGTCAATATCCAGAGGCAGGAGCTGCAGATAGTTGTCATTCATAGCTGGCAGGAATAGCTGCAGCTCCGAACCAAACCAGAAGGCATATTCGTTGGCTGTAAAGGTGCTGAACGGTAAGGATTTAAAAAGTAAATCGAAGAGCAGCTCACGAATCCGGGGGTCAGGAAGGACAGTGAGATCCCTCTGGAAACACAACCAGCACACAAAAATTGAATTTACCATTACTGCTTTCCACAGGTAGATCAAACTGCCTAGTGGCAAGATAGATTTCCTCTTCTCCCTGTGATGTAGTGTGCAGTTTTCAGGAAAGCCACCAGTGTTTTAGCATGCATGCACAGTAGAGCAATACAGTGTAACACTGGAGTAATGCATTTTGGAACTGAATGAGATTATTATTGTAATGAATTAACTTCTGTACATTTTCCAATAGAAAAGCCATTTGACCACAGCCTTAGCTATTGAAGATTTTTATCCCTCTTCTGTAAGGGGTGAGTTCTGAGTTGAAGGGAAACCAAGGTATTAAAAAAACATTGTGAAAGAAAATAAATAACCTTTTTAAATGAGTAAGGTGTCTGTACTGGAACCCATAACATGAATAAGAATAATCACTTTGTCTGGATGCTGATCTGTGAAACCCAGGCATGTGAGCTCTAACCTAGCAGTTCACATTGCTGTAAGAAGGAGAGTTTGTCTCTCTTGTGGCATTTTTAGTATTTATGAGACTCGTAAGAGGATGCTGTTCTCTGAGGGGGGAGCTTTTACTGTACCTCTTCTGCTGCAGCGTTCAGCTCCTTTGTGAATTCAGTCAGCTCCTCAAAGGAGCGTTTTTCCATCTCCAGCAAAATCTGGACAGTAAGGCGTTCCCTCTTAAAAGCATTTGTGAGAACTGTCATCTCTCCGATTTGTCTGGCAGACAGAAGGTCAAGAACTTCATACTAGTGAGGAAAACGCAGCAGAAAATACAGACTTAGAAAACCATTTGCTTGTCCACTAATTACGGTTCTCAGCCATATATAGTTCATTGTTTATGTTTCTGACTGATACTGACTCGTCAAAGCCCTAAAAGCACCTGAATGTCCCCACCGTGCTACACCAGCACCAAGGAGCCTTCCATACCCTGGGTGGATAAAAAATGTATTATGTCCTAACACAGAAGACTGAGGTTAATGCTAATCATCAGCTGTTCTAGCTAACTAGCCATTAATAGCCGTTTTGTTCTCATTGCTAATCAGACAACTTACTGTATTGCTGTATTAAAAACCTGTACGGCAATGAGTTCTGCAGGGGAGTGGAAAGGGTTGGGCTAAGAAGTGGCTCTGCTTGGTTGTTACACTTACATAAAATGCATGGAAGAATCATGAACTGCATTTAATACTAAAAGTCTGGAGGAATTCCTCCTGATTTCTTTGGCGAGGATCTTCCCTTGGGGATAGTTATGGAAGTGGACAATACCTTCTGGGAAGTTCAGCCTGTGAAAAACGTTCAAAACTTTTGATACCTTTTACAGACCTGTCTGTGTGGAAACCTTGTAAGAAAAGGCTCTTTTTGAGATTCTTAAATAGTTGTGGGTTTGTCTTCATTTCTAGTCTTGGAGTATTAGTGTTGGGCAGAAACAAGGATAAGAGGATTATAAACTATAGGGTTATGTCTGAAGGTTATAATAAAAAATTTCAGACAATGTTTTTGACTCACTGAAGTCATACTAGGACTGAAATACAGCCCCGAATTTTCCACAAACTCTATAAATTTTGTACTGTCAGAGGTACATGTGTGCTTACCCCATTAAAGTCCTTGTAGAAGTCAGTGAGGTCACTGTAAGGAGCAAAATGTAAAAATCTGTAGAAGATAAGTTCCAGGAAACTTCGGCTGCTGTCATACGTGCCAGGAAATACCTTGTCTGAGGAAGTACAAGAAGTCTGTCAGTACAGCGTGGTAACTGATCTTTTTTGTCAGTGCTCCACAACGTGGCTGAAAACCAGATCTGTGACCTACTCTCTCCCTCAGTCCTGAGCAGCTGCAGACCCGGGGGGATTCGGCACCCAGGGGGCTTTGGGGAGCTGTGGGTGACAGGCAGGGCTGTGGATCCCCGATCGTTGTGGGGCTGGTTTGGGCGCAGTGAGCTGCTGGTTGCTGCGCAGTTCTGGCAGCTACCAGGGGGTTCCTGGTAGGGTGTTACTGGAAGAGCTGTGGTGCTGAGGCATCATGGAAGAGAACAGATGCCCAAGTCTTTTGGTTCATTGATTATAAGCTGCAATCGGTATTTGATGTTTCAGAGGAAAGCCAGTGCTCTGCCTTGGGAAGCCCAATGACTGAAAGGCTGCTGGGCAACCTCCCCATGTTGTACTTGCTCCCGAGAGTGAATTCCTCTCTGACCCAAGGAGGGACAGGCAGTTGGCAGAATTTTAGCACAGATGTGACAAACAGCTACAATTCAAATATGCCATGGAGCATTGCCAAAAACAGACCGGTACCTGAAAAAGTAAGTTGAGATTCCAGGATCCTTTTGATGAAGAGGTAGATAGCATGGGATGTGTTTTGTGGAAGCTCTGGAAAGACATTATCTAGGCCTCGCACTCTGCAAGGGTCAAGAAATAAGATATCATCAGTCTGAGACTGTAGAGACTTATAATACATCAAGTAGTAATGTTATTTATGATAATATGTAGTGTAAGTCTTGCCTCAACTGTAATACATTACAGCAATAATGGTAATAACAAGAAGTGCAAAAGGTACAGGCTTGATAAGGCATGGAGAGTTGGCATACACCCGCCTCATTCAGAGTCCTGGAGCAGAGAACAAAAGGGGTGAAGGGTATGTGAAGATACTTAAGTAGAGCACGATACAGTACGTGTATATGTGGAAAATTCTACCTGAATATCCTTTACTGCAAAAATCAAGTTGAGACTCTTATTTTTTTTTTAAATCCATGTGAAATGCCAGCATGTGCTTACGCTGGGAAAGGGGTTGCTAAAATGTGCATTGCTTTCCCTGCCAGAGCTTTCCTGCAGGATGAGGCTGGCAGCAGCGCTCCTCAGCACATGATACTCACATGGCTGTGTAGGCTGGGAAGCTGAGGTCTCCTGGGATTAACTCTAGCAGATCTGTGTTTATGCTGGGCAAGAGGAATCTTAGGCTCTCCAGGAACCAGAGTTCATAGTCAAGATCAGCAAATTTATAAAAGTGCTTGGAAAGGTCTGTGAAGAGTGTTGTCAGCATTTCCATCCTTATTTCATCATTTCTGATGCCCCCAATGCCTTCCTGTGGGGAATGGAAATGTGTGTTACTTGGGAGCTGTTTGGTGGTGGCGCGGTGAAGGGGATGATTACTCTTTTTCATCAGCATCCTTGTTTTACCTGGCACTGTGAGCAGGACTTTCTCTTACATGAAGTGCCTGAGGAGCCCTGCCTTTTTGAAGGGGAAAAATGTTTATGATGAAATTTACAATACCTGTGTCAGAGCCAGGTTGAACTTCACCAGGAATTCACTCATTTTAGGCTCTGAGATTTGGGGATTTTCACCCCTCAGGGCATTCAGGATATCCTGCATTGTGGTCACGTTGACCAGGGCATCAGAAGTCAGAGCATATTCCACCAGCTGCTCGGTGCTCAGCACATCCAGAATTTTGGCCTAGGAAATATTAATGTCAGCCACTGAAGATGAGCTTATTCCCTCTTCACTAGAACTAGACGAAATACTAGTTTTTTTCAGTTTTCAGACTTTTCTTTTTGCAAATTGCATGTGTGTGTAATGGTTTGTAGAGGTTTGCTTACATCCTGAAGTTATTTCTCACATCCCAGGCAAAGCTGTTTCAGCACAGGGAGGAGTTTCAAAATGCTGACATATATTTTTGTTTTGACTGTCTAAGGGTACCCATTCAAAATTGGAGCATCTTTCAATGTCCTGCTAGTTGAAGACATACTATTATTTCTGGTTTTAGAGTTGCTGCGTAGATGTGGGAATATATTCTATTACAAATCTTGAAATTAAATCCTCTAATGCTTTCTACTGTGGGATAAACATTTCTGAAATCCCCAGTTATCCATATGCACTTAGTGTAGAGATCATACATACAGGGTCAAAGCTGTTGTGGGTTGCTATGACTTCCTGGAGGGCTATATTGTGGAAGAAGGATTTCCAGGTGACTTTTATCCATTCAGTAGAGGACTCAGGTGGACCATCTAAGTGGGAAAAAGATGCAGTGACTCTCAGGGAATTACCCAGTATGTCCTTCTTTTTAAACAATATAGCTATTGCAGAAAAGAGGAAAACTCGGATCCCAAATGACTGAAAAGAATAGCTGCCTATTTACTGTTATATTGCAGTGTCACTTCTAGCTCAAGAAAAGTGTGACCCATAGATTACTTGGATACCAGTGAAAAGTAGAAGAGAAATACTGGATTATGCTGGTTGGGTACCTTTACTCCTCCCTAGACATCCACTCCTGACTAGTGCTGGATACGGGATGCTGGACTAGATGGGATTTGCATTTTTTCAAAGGGAAATGAGACTTTGTACCTTGAGAAAGCAAAATCAGTGTGCAATAAATAGCAACAGAGAGAGAGAAGAAAGAAAAATGAGGATCCTCAGATCAGGCCAAGATACTGATAATAATTTAAGATAATAATTTAAGATAATAATTTTTAAGATAATAATTTTTTTTTTATAGTTTCCAGGAATATACATTATGTCTTGGGACAGTCACCAGAGATCAACAAGGCATCCTGCTGTGAGGTACCATTGGAAAGACAGCATTTTTCCATAGCCCTCTCGTGTACTAGTGCTTGCCTTTGTGTACAAGTCTATATTGCTGTTGTTTAATACATCCTGGAAATCTACCAGCTGTGTCCCTGCTTTCCTGGAAGTATCTATTAGCTGGAATGTGTGGCTTCCCAGCGTTACCTTTCAAGATCTGGAGATTCCGTGCAATCCAGAGTGCTGTATCTCTTCTAGAGGACTCAGTCATGTGTTGGTAAGTGTCGTCAAGTGCAGTAACACTAGGTAGACAAGAAAAACGACACAGTTGAAATACATAGGATGATGGTTTCTTTGTAACTTCCTCTAACTGGAGCCTTGGACAAGAAGAACAGTCTTTTCTCCAAGTTACTGTGGTCACTTCCTTCACCTGGAAATTTCTGCTGAGGAACTTGTTATACTCCACCCCTGTTGTACAAATAGCCTCTGTGGACCAAGGCCAAGATTTGGTACGGCCCAGCTCTCTAACTTCATCTTAAACTCCTGAGAAAATCACTAAGTTGTGAGTAAGAGCAGTGAAGAAGTACCCAGACTAGAGCCAGCCAGGCTGACAGCACATCATCTGTCTTTCAGATTTAACCTGACTCCATGAGGAGTGTTGTCCTTTCAGATTTAACCTGACTCCATGAGGAGTGTTGTTACTGGCTGAAGAGAGATCCCAGTGATGCCCAGAAGACTTACACAGCAACTAAGGAGTCATAATCCTGTGGCACAATGAGGGCGAGGGTTGATTCGTTGATGACGGGACGCAGGAAGTAGAGCTCATTTTGGAAGGTGATGTTCCAGTCAGAGGCAGTGTATGTCTTCATTTGCTCGGACGTGCTGGTCAGGTATTGTAGTAGGAGTAGCCGAGCAATGTCATAATTTGGCAGGACTGTGATCTTACGCTGAAACAAAATTATGTGATGAACACATTAGTGCTAGGGCAAACAGAACAGCAATGCTACAGCTGGGGAGGGACCTCTAAGTGGTTTTCTTGGCCAGAATTTTGGTGAATTCAAAATGGAAGTGAACAATAGTCTGAAGAGTGCAGTCTTTGTCACTGAAAGGACCTGATGAGTACAGATGTTTGAAGATTACTGTTGTAGCAATGTACTTTCAAAATCATAGGCTTTGCTAAGCTGTTTTTTCAACTAATAACTTAATATGGCAAGTATCTGCAGGGGAGATGGAGATAGCCAAGAACATGGGTAGTGTCTACCATGCTTGCAGCCTTGGTGAACTGTGTCAAAATCATCTGAACATCCTCAGCTTCACTTTGCTGGAAGAACTGGACAAGCTGGACTGCTGCATCCATACTGGTCAGTGTGTCCGAGTATACCATCATGTCACCAATCTGAGTGGGAGTGAGGAGGTCCAAAATGGCATACTGAAGAAAGACAGAAGAATCAAATTCTGTTACCTCATACCTGGGTAATTTCATTTCCATCTTTTCTGGTACATCCTCTCTTAAGTGCAAAGGCAGCCTGGATATGTACAGACTTACCGCGTTGAAAGGTTGACGGTAGAGTGAAACCAATTGAGTGTAAGGTGCTGCTGTGCAGAATTTTCCAAAGAACTGTAATAACCAGTCTCTAGTTGTGGCGTGGGTGGAACAGGCAGCACCTATGGTGAGGGCACAGAAAAACAGGTGACATGGGAGAGCAGATTCAAGTACACATCAGTACCCAGGATTGCCAAAGCACCTTGAAGGCAAAGGAAAGGGTTGAAGTCCCTGACTTCGATGCCACTCCTGTGGCATGCTCTGCCCTCTTTTATTTTCGTATTGTGCACAGGAATGAGTTCTGAGAAGAAACACCTGTTACTTAATTGAGCATTTTGGAAAGTATTGAGCAAAGCAAGAGATTGATTAGCTCTGTCCCACAACTTGCAGAGAGTGACAGGGCTCACAGAGAATTAGCTGAACTGATAGGGATTACCGGTGAGCTCAGACTGCTGGGTGAGGAATGCCACAATGTAGTTATATACATCCGTTTTGCCAGCTGCAGGGATTTCAGAGAAGACTGTATTGATTCCAGCAATTCTGTAGAAGAAAGAAACCTGGAGTAAATAAAGGACTCTTGGGAGCCAACCCATTGCTGAAGAGCTCTCATGAAATATTCTGGGGTTGCTCTCTCTGGCTGCCCTAAAAATAAATACATCACAAGAATCAAAGTAAAGTATTGAAAGCCTGGCTTCATTGTTGCCTGGGGAGTTTTTTATTGGTCTTAGTGGAGGCAAAGTGAGTCCAAATTCAGGTCTTCTAAAGGTCTTGTCCCAAGAAAATGTCTGAGTGCAACTAATACCCAAATTAGCAGTGTGTGGGCTAATTCATAAAGTAAAGAAAAGACAAATAAACTGACTTGCCAAGACATGCAAGACAAATGAGAGGAGTGGGAGTAACTGTCTTCTGGACTTTTTCTGTAACTATGGCACTGTGTTCCCTCCTTTTGCAGTTTATCTGCTGCACTGAATTATTCTTTTACTAAATGGTTTAAAGCCCAAGCAACATGGAACAGCCTCAAGCAGGGTGACCATGACTCACAGAGACTTGTAGGAACTGCAGGATATGGTGTTGGGGATGTCCTGAAGGATGGGGGCATGAATGCCTGGCAGAACAGCCACAAGCCTCTTCTGAAACCAAAGGTGGTAGTCGTTGTCTGTGAAGGTAGGAAGTGCAGAACGGAGCTGCGCCACTGTTCTTGCCAACATGGTACGCTTCACTGCCATGGAGATATTGAAGGTGTTGGTAAAAGGCTGCATCAGGAATACAAAAAGCTACTGTAAGGCTCTGGGAGAATATTCAAAAACTAAGAGGAGAATATTTCTGGGTGATGCAGTTTCTATTTCTAACCCAGCAATAACAGCAAATCATGCAACATCCATAAGGATTTTATAGCATTGTAACAGTGCAGCCAAGACCTGACTAAATTACCATGAAGCATCAGGTTACACAAGGAAAAATTTCCAGCAAAGTCAGCATAGAAGAATAGGGTTGGTTTTTTTGGGTTTTTTTTTATGTCCCCACCTTCATCTTCTGTAGCAGGGAAATGTTTTGAAACTAATTCAGCACAGTAGGAGAAACAAACTTTAGCGTTCTATTCTAGACCTTCAGTTTTCAGGGATGTCACTCTTCTCTATTTGAGACTTGTCTGAGGCAGCTGAGCTGGCATAGCTCCCGATGCTTACGCAAGATAGAAGACGTTTTCTGAATTACTTTTGATTTGTGATACTAAATATATTCCCTGACACCTCAGACTCTTTGCCCAAGTCCTGTGTTTTATAGCACAAAATATATACTTTGCATAGCTGTTTTATTGTTCATTTCCTACTGACCCTCGAGAAATGGTTTGGTCAGATGTTTTTTTTTTTTTTTTTGCCAGGTGTGTTATTTTCACCATCGAGATTGTTTTATTTTCTAGTTTCATGGTGTTATTGTTTAAGGGAGAATTACAGGTCTGACTCTCACCCCTTTGCTACTCTTCCAGCTGTCACCTGCTGGCTTCTGCACCTTGTGTCCTGGTGCAGGCTGTCAGTGGCCATCAGTGGTAGTTTAAGTGGATAGGCTGTGCTAGGAACTGCGACACCTGAGGAACGGGCATACAGTCCTTTCTGTCACCTCTGCTGCAGAGCCTTGAACAGGACCGGGGATACCAGGTATCGCTTGCTTTCAGCTCTTGTTGAGCTTTGTTGCCTCTCAGAGAATGCTGAGCACCCTGCAAAGCCAGGCCCCAGAGGAGCACTGAAGGACCCAGCTGATGGGACAAAACTGCTAAGTGTCTGAAGCTCCTGCTGCCGCCAGGAGGTGCTTCCAATATCTCTGTGAGTACAGCCCGGATGAGACTCTACCTCCACACTAGACTCCTGCTTTCTCATCAAACAAGGTGGGAGCAGCTGGATTCTAAAGAGTTTCATTGTTTGCTATTTTAAGCCAAAAAAAAAAAAAAAAGAAAAGTAACAATTATTATTTCTGCAGGCCAGAGGCTAGCTTTGTACCATTCTAGGCATGTGCTGCTGCTTCTGGATGAATGCGGAAAATGACAGACAGATGCTCTGGTACAAAGCTCGCTTTCAAAGTCTTGGGAAAAGCTGAGTTAGTCATGATACCGTAACCCGGTAGGAAGTCTTCTCTCTGATCAGCTCTTACCTGAGGGAGAGACCTGCAGGGTCTGAGTCTTGCAGACTGAAACTTTGCATATCTTCTGTTGGCCTGATGAAAGGTATTGTATTTACAAGGAGCCAAGAAGGGCCCTTAGCTAATTACTGTATTAGAGGAGCCTCAGCAAATAATTGGCACTGGGTGCACAGTCAGAACTGTGTATGTGGGAGAGGAATTACTACAGCCTGAGTCAAAGACAAATAGTAAATTGTTGTGAATTAATATGATGTAAATTAATGGTGCTTTAGGGACCTCTTTGAGCCTTATTCTTTTACAAAGGCTGGAGATCTGGCCTGTGTCTTTCAGGCAGTCTGGGGTGGGAAGGGGTTGGTGGCAGCTGTGTCAAACCCAAGCACAGACTAAACATGTGAGGAATGCAACATGCAGTGCCATAATCTCTTTCTGGCCTCGAACCCACTGCAAGGTTCCTTGGCAAACCTGTTGTATCACCTTTTACTTTAGGTTACTGCACATTTACAGGATGCACAGGAAGACTTCTGTCCTCACAGACCTCTCCCGCTGAGCGCCATTAACAAGCTGTCTGCACTTACCTCTTCTAAAGCAGAATTAAGCTCGTCCCAGTAAGTGGCCAACTCATGGAGACCCGGCAGTTTGGTTAGTCTGTCAAAGATCCGTTCAATGTTAGCAACAGAGCTGAACACGTCTTGGGACAGTGTTAACTGGGCAAGCTGGATGGCAGTCAGCTCCTCCAGGAGTGCCATCTGGAACAGAGACAGAGAGATTTAATTATAAATATACATTTGTATTTTCTTGAATTGACACTGTCAGCATATGTGTCTGCAGTTTTTCGTCACGCTTTGTCCTCAAGAACAAGGGCTCTTTCTCCTCTGGCAGATGCAGGTTAGATATTTAGTGTTCATGATGGAGCAATGGCGTGAGGCTGAGACAGGCTTGTTCTATTTTTTCGTAGCCTTGCAATAGGAGAGAGTCTTTGCACCAGAAGTGTTAGATTTTAATGGAAATGATTAATTTTTGAAAAGCTAGTGAGAGATTGTGGGTGTTTGCTTGCCCCAGGTAAGCTGGGTATCTCTCGGAGCTCCTTCTCTTGTTGGGGTGAGAGTGAGGGAGGCCCCAGTTTGGGCTTCTCTAATACACTCCACGGAAACATCCCTTTAGTGCCCCGTGCCACAGACTGCCATGGAAAGCAAGTTGTCTGATAATCAGCTCAAAACTCTTCCAAGACAAACAGAGAATCTGGATCAGATATAGAGATCCTTTAGCTCCTGTGCAGGTGCTCTAGCTGTGCAGCCATCCTTTTGCTGGGTGTTGTGTTAAGGCAAAGTGAACCAACTGGCCAGGAATTGTTGGAACTGAAATACAGGGGAATAATCAGAAAGCGTAGCTGAGCTCTTCCTGTAGCAGAGTGGAAAATCCTGGCTCTTGTGAAGAGGATGGAAAAAATTTCTATTGTTTCTAATTAAGGAGGAAAGAGCAACAGGTTTTTATTTCATGTTTGTTCAAAATATTTTGTAATAGTCTTTAGCTCTCAGAGGATAAATCCCATGATGAATTGTGTGATTGTCTAAAAAGGAAATAGAAATAGTTTTGCTCTATGGTCGTAAAATGTCACAAAGTGACTAAGTCAGTAGCCTTACCCCAGTGAAGTTTTCATAGGCAGCAACAAAGTCTGTGATGTTAGCTATGGATCTGAATCTCTGGAAGTTAAGAGTCATCCAGTTTTCATCCATCTGACAATCTAAAATGCAACATTAACAAATTATTTATGTTTCAGTTTAAGACTCAAAAAACCTAAGATCATTTGAGGGTGTGTATGGAAATGATAGAGGAAATATTTCTGATTATCATGTAGCTAAGCAGTCAGTCAACCTGGTTCTAACCAGGTTGGCTCATATTGATGCAGTTCCTGGAAGACTGTCACAAAGTGGTGTCTAGTAATTTCATGGAAAATTGGGACACTACTGCTTAGTTGCTTTTCAACTTTTATTCTTTACCAACTTTGCAAGACAAGAATGTTGAAAAGAAAACAATTCAGTGGTTCAGTAAGTCTAAAGGCAGTTTGTGCTTGTAATAAGGGTGCAGTTAATTTTTTTTTTTTTAAATTTGCCCCTCCCTTCAGTCAACAAGAAAATCTGGTGTTGCTTCTTTGTAGGGACAAAGGCTGCTCTCCATTTCATACTGGGGCAGCTGCACTGATGTGGAACTGGCTCATTGAGGCGTAGTTGGAGTGCAACTTTTACAGTCTACAAAAACCACAGCTCCAAATTATTGAAAACTCCTAGGCACAGGAGAAATGTCAGTGAGGTCGGAGGGACCCCAGGGGCCTGAACAAATTCAGTGGGAAGAAAAGGCTCACCTAAGCGAGGAAGAGTTTGGACAATCCATTGGGTTATGTCAGTCTTTGTATCTGTTGCCATGTCATCAAATGCGTAGTCCAAACCTCTCACTCTGCAAGACAAGGAGAGAGAAGACAAATGTCAGCATCAGTTATTTGCTGTGGCTTTCACAGATCCAAGCTAATAACGTCTTTATCACAGACAGCCAGAAGTGTCTTCTCTGATGGGACAGATGAATTCACAGTCTTTCCTCTCGCTTGTCAGTCAGATCCCGGCCCGTAGCCACAGTGACATTCTCCTTTACAGTGCACACAGATGAGAGAAACTGAGCTGGACTTATACTCACATCATTTGTAAGAGTGGGCAATCACTGATAGCAGGCAGTGTCATTAATTCATTGTGAGTGATGGAGCCTAGATACAAGGTCAGTGTCCCATTGAACAGGGATTCCAAGTCTGTTCTTGTCATTGAGGCAAAATGTGGCTTCAGGATCTGGAAAATGCCTTTGAGCATTATGTCACGAACTCCAGTGCTCGTTATGCTCTCTGTGTGCATCTGGGGAGAAGAATAAATGGGAAGTAATGCACTACTGGAGTGTGATAGAGATGCTTATCTTTGGGCCTCAGTCATTACGTGTATTAGTGTGGCTTTGTCCTTGCAGAAATGAACAGCAGATTTCATGATACAGGGCTGGGCAGTGTAAATGAAAATGTGCTGGGGTTTTTGCCTTCTTCCCCCCCCCCCGCCCGCAGCTTAATCTGAGAGACTTGATAATTCTGCTTGTTTGGAATCATACCATTATATTTTTTTATAGAAATTTGCTTTGGAGAAATCTATAGATGATTGTGCAGTCAGGAGCAAGAGCGAATGAAAATGAGACCCAGCAAGAGGAAGCAACTGGAGGAACTCTCTTACCTGTGCTACAAGGGAATTAACTTCATGCAGAAAGGTGTGTAGTTCAGAGACATTGCGGGTTTGGAGGGTTTTCATAATCTCCGTAACATCTGTCTCTGCACTGGCCCTCGTGTTGTCGGTTAGGATACCAGAGGTGATGAGTAGCTTTCCTAGCTGCACTGAAGTTAGCAAATCTGTCACCTCAAACTAAAAAGGAAAGGAAAAGGATGTCATCCTAGGGGCAGCTCAGTGCTCTCCCCAGCTCTAATCTTTCTGCATGTGAGTGGCCACTCAAACGCTTACAAGTAATCCCAAGCCAGGGACAGTGCCCTGCTGCTATTGCAGAGTGACACAACGGAGCACCCTTGTGGAACCCAATGTGAGCTTTGCTCGGTGTGATACCTACTCCATTAAAGCTGGGATTGAGGTGGAGGAAATCGCTGTAGTCAGTGTAAATACTAGAGAATCCAAAGTTGTCCTCTAACCAGTCTCGGCTGTTAGAAGTGGTGAATGTACAAGCTACTCCTGAAAGAGATAGTATGTTGGATGGTCAGAAGCTACTAGAGCCTGTTGGCAGGAGAGAGGGGAAGCTTTGTCTAACAGGCCAGACACTCATCTGTGCAAGACAGCTGGATAAGCATATGCTTCTGGAAAAATACCTCTCTATGAGAAGGCGAGGTAGAAATGGTGCTGTAGCCACAGCTGGGCCTTGAAAAAGCTCAGAGTGGCTGTAGGAAGTAGAAAGTGGTGCTCAGAAGTGCCAATCGAGGCTGAAGTTTTTTCCCAGTTTCAGGTACTAGAGTAATCCCACCCTTCTGCAGTTTAGTTTGGCCATTTTTGTACCACAGAGTGCTCCTGGGATAGTTCACCCTAAAGAAGGTGGGGGTCTGCTTGTTTTTGTGAATTTTGTTGTAATCCTGAAATTGTGAGTATTATTGCTTAGGTGTTGCTCAAAAGTAGTGTAAGGTTTTAGTATTAAAGTGCTTACAGGATCATGAGAGAAAGTAATATGCAGTAATCTGTTACCTTCTTTTGCTGCTTGCCCATTGAGGAAATCCATCCTGGCCTGGTATACAGCTCTCTGTGTGTCAGGATCTAACTCATGGTGCACAGAATTCAATCCTTTGTAGCTGTATATTGATAAAAAATAAAAGGGATTTCAGTGTTTCATATCACAGTATTTATAAGCCATGCTGTACCAAAAAAATAGATAATTTTGAACCCAAGAAAACTTTAGCCAGTTAGAGAAAAGTAAAATGGTTTTGAACCTTGCAGAACATTAACATTCACTTAAGTGTTCAGGTGCTTTGTTCATATATCATCTCTGCAAGTTCAGCCATTGCTGATAGTTTTTTCATTGTGCTGTACTGCTTTTTCTGGAGAGAAAGAACATTGTTTATTTTGAGGTCGTAATCTAAAAATAGTAATTTCCAAATCTCCAGGGCAGCATTTGACATTATGATAAGAGAAGAGCTGCAGGTTCATTTTCATAGTAGCCTTAGCAGCAACAGGTATAGCAGTCACAAAGTTTGCAGTGAGGAGCCATGCTTATGTATTATCTCTGTTAACTTTGTTTCTCAGTAAGTGCAGATGACAGATATACTCACATGTCTTGGAAATCAGTGCAGCCTATTTTTGTTGGGAAGAGCCTTAATATATTTGCGTCAGTAACAGCCAGCATCCTTTTCAGTTTCACCTGAAACAAGTCTTTCAAGGAGGGTGAGCACAGATCTGGGAAGTTCTCTTTGACTTTGGTTAAAATGGTCTCCAGCATTGAGTACATCACATTGTGGTCAAGTGGAGGAGTCAGTGTTAAGGTTGATAACTCGGTCAAGTAGTCTTCAAGGTAAAGGACATTATTGGTACTGAGGACTTGTGTGATGGCAGCAGCTAAGCTGCTGTTGGAGAGCACGTTGCTGAGGACTGTAAGCTGGGCTACCTGGCTGGCGGTGAGGACCTCGAGAGCTGTAAACTGTGAATAGATACACATGACTAAAAACCCAGTGTAAGAATTAAACTACTGAACAAGTTGCCACATGAGATAAATTCTTCCATACAGCACTGTAGGTACCAGACTGTTGAATATATGATGTAAGTTTAGTAGGCACCGTGTGGGTGTGGACTGCTGAAGTCTGACTGTTTACTGACCTGTAGCTCTAATCACTGATACTGCAATCCGTAAGCAAGTGAACGTTTCAGTCACTTTATCCCCCTGTTCCTCTATTGCTTGAGTGTTCACAGCCTGCTGGGTGAAACAGCTCTAGGAAGCCCTACTTTCAAAGTGATTTCTTACCCCATCAAAGCTGCTCCAGCAAGAAGTGAGATCACTATATGATGCATAACTTTGGAAACTCTTCCAGTTGGTCAGTAGCCACTCTTTTGCTGATTTTTTTTCACAAACTAAAAACATAAAATAATTTGTTATTTCTTGATAGACATATAAGGATGGATCTCCTTTGAGACCATGGGGATGGAAAAGGCTTAGAGGGAGGGTACTGGGAAAAACGAAGATGAGTTTAACCCAAAGATCACTATCACTGATCTCTTCTAACATAGTTTAACCTGAGTTCAGAAAATCTGTTTAAACAATCTTATTGTGGTGCTGAAAGAACGAGCGTGTTACTGAATAATTTTTGTTAGAGTCCTTTATCATCTGATCATCTTAACAGCTAGTTCTCATTCTGCAGACAATAGGTGTCAGTAGTTTATATGGGTATCTGTTGAATCTATTATACCAGGAAAATTTGGACTGTAAATACTGATCACTAACCATGTGTGGTAAGGAATCTTCTAATCCAGTCAGCTACCAGTTGCCTCGTGCTGTTGTCCATCTCAGAATAAGCAGTGTCCAGAGCTTGAACCCTAGAATTCAGAAGGGACAGATGAGACAAACTCTGTTGCCAGCTCCTGGTATGAATAACAATTTGTTAGCTCATATTTCCCTTCACTTCCTTTGCTGAGTTGAACATTAGCAATTCTCTTTGGGTGCATGATAGAAACTGAGATAACCCTTCATGTTCTAAGGTGAATTTGTGGAGCCCTGTTCATGTCCCAGCTAGTTTCTTCACATCTCCATCCTGCTTCATGTCTTCTTCCAAGTTTCTACCTGTCTCCACTCACTTCCTTCACCAGCTTCTCTCTCTGGGAGAGGTCCCCAAGAGGCACAGAATATAATAGTAAAAAATGTTATTTATGTCTGATAAATGTATGTTGCTTTCTTATGTGGCTGGAGGAGAAACCTACTTACAGCTGCCTCCTGAACAGCAGTGAAGGTGTGCGAGGCACAGGTTGAGTATTACATATGGTCGTACCCTATACAATCACGTGACACTGATTCCAGTGAGCACACTGCACTGTCTGGTCAGTGTACTGCATTTGTCTTGTTCTTTGCTGGCAGCTTTCACGCCCTGGGCCCTGGATCTCATTCTATCTTTGATTTTTTTTCTAGCCCTATCTTAACTGTTCTATGGATAGATCTTAATAAGGCAAATTAGGAACAGAGATAGCTGGCAGGAAAAGACATCAAAATTCAAGTCTTAAGAAGTACTGTTTGACAATGCAATGTATCTCCTGGTTCTATCAAACCACAGGCTTGTGCATACCATCTAATGAGACCCTGAGCTTAGATCAGACGTACACTGTGGCCAGGCCATCACAAGTGACTGGAAGCTGTGCCATGCAGTCCAGGATGCTGGTGCCAATGGAGGGAAGGTAGGCATGCAGGGTCTCCTGGAACCAGGATGCCAGGAAACCTGCATTTGCGACTTTTGGATCAGACTTCACGACTTCCCATGCTGCATTTAACATGAAGGCTTTGGTGGCTGATGCAATCTGGTCACTGCGGACCTGAAAACAAGATGGAAAATGCTGAAAGTATTGCAAATTTATTATGGGTATTATTGCCATGATTAGGGGTAGAGCCAAGACCAGAAACTCTTTGTGGTAGATTCTGCACAATCACTGGGACAACAACGCTGTCCCTTTCCCGAGATCTTCAGGTTGGTTGTTGTCACACTTATCTAACTGTAAGTGACTTGGCTGTTCTTGAGAAGATACAGAAATTGCCTTTGTGCTTTCAATCCCCGTATATAACCTTAAATGAGGTCATCTATACTGCCTTGAAAATTACTCCTGAGAGTGGTGTGAGCAAACCTATTTTCCTTGGTGCTGGCACTGTACTAGGAGCATGGACGTGGTAAGAACTGTGTCCGGGCTGAAAGGTAGTAACTTGTTCAGGTAGGGTGTGCTATCTCCATCAGAGAGAAGAAGTAAAGGCAGGTAGAGAAGGAGAATGAGCTGTTCAGCTGAGTAAGAAGTAGATTCATCACTTCCAGTAGCCAGACTCCTCTCCCGTTCTTGTTAAGGATAATGGGAAAATAAAGTTTTGAGGAAGATTTGGAGGGGAAGAAGGGAAGAGAAGGCTGGTTTGTACTGAAGCTTGTGCTCACGTTTTTCTGTAATCGTAGTAACAACATACTAGAGATGCAGGGCTGCAGACTCCCCAGGTAACTATTGACTAGTCTCTGCTCACATAGCAGCATGGGGAAAAAAACCAGTGAAATACTCCAGCAAGTATGGATGTAGCCCAAGCTAAAGAACCCCTGTGTATGGTCTGAAGAGGGAGCTGCTGATGGTCCTCCACCCTGATGCTAATATTACCTGCACACTGATTTCATTCAGAGCAGTTTGCAGCACTTCACTGTTGACTTGTTGAAACAAGAGCAGGAAAGCCCCTTGGTCCAGGAGAGCAGTAGGGTCTGTGATGTAGCATGTGAGGATGGAGGAGAGTTGCCTTGATGTCAGCTTGGTGCCCTGAGACATACACAAGCACATTATGTCAAAAAAAAGGGAAAGATGTACAAGTCCGGGGTCAGAGCATGCAATTCTCTTGCTCTTGTTGTTCCTACAGACAGTCTCTAGGGAAAGGGATGGCCAGGCTTGCTGCCTTTTGCCTGATGGAAGTGATTTCAGAGCAATGCCATCTAATGTGCTCAAGTAGAGGAAGGCAGATCTGACTGTGAATGTCTTGAAGTAGCTAGAAAGGAATATCTGGGGAGTTGGTAGGAGAGACCTCTTGGAGAGGTGACTTACTGAAGCACAGGCGTACTGCCGGAGGGAAGGGCTGCACCAGTCACCGCTCTTCAGGATGGAGCTTAAATTTGAACTGGAAAGGAAGCGGGAAACATTGAACATTTTCCATTACGTGTCTGATGAGAAGGGGGATGGCTGGGCTGCAGAGGGCTCCGGTTCTCTTGGTGAAGCTTTTGGGAGATGGTATTTTAGCTCTAGCATAATCTCTCCGAGGCAGTATGGATACCAGTTCCCAAGGGTGCCTACCTGCTTTCAGAGGAGCAGTATGTTGGAGCTGTGAAAGAAGAAAGAAATGTATGACACTAATATTTTAGTCTTTCCCTTTGAGGGTATGCATGATGCTTTCCTTTGGGTGCAGGAAGTATTGAGCAGTCCTGCCAGTTTCACATTTGACAGCTTCTCCCTTCAGCTCCTTGTGCTTGCTATTCATGTTGTGTTGGAAATTGTGGGTGTGTAATAGTGAGTGTTTCTTTTCGGTGCTGGGTTGAGACTGCTGAAAGGCTCTAAACAGCCCTTAAATAAGTGATGCAGAAATTTTACATGGATTCTATTCAGGGACATTTCCTAGGGGCATCAACTTTCTCAATACTTTCATTCTGCTCTTTTGTGTGCCAAGACCCTGTCCGACAACTCAAGTGTACAAATGGTACCTTAGATACAAACAAAATGTTACTTACACGTGAGGAATGGTGGACACTGGGAAAAGAAAGGAGAGAAAGCAGTGGTTAGGACAGAGTATTCATGACATGAAATAGGATGTAATTTACTCAGGCTGCTAGCTACAAAGCAGTGACTCCTGTATTGCATTGCCCTGTTTGCATCAGGCAAACCATTGGGATGGTTGAAAGATGACCAGTACCACAATGCATCTGCTGGTTAGAACAGACTGGTCACTCTAGGCTCAGGACAGACTGACCAGATTCTTGGCCGGTGCAGGTCAGTGTCCTGGTGGAACTGCGCTCTTATTCCAGCTAACAGATCAGCTTTAAAGCAGGAATCCTCCCTGGCTGCAGTATTATACCTTCTCTCCTCCAGCCTATGGGTTTGTGGAGCTCTGGGAAGTATTGCAAGTGTTTGTTAGTAACTTCATGGAGGTTCCCTTGCACTAGACTGCTCTTAAGTGGCTGTTGCTGAGTGAATAAAATTGGATTGTGGCTATTACAGGTAACTGATACTACTTTTAAGTGCCTGCTGTATGATCGAGAACCCAGAAACAAACTTTTTACAGCATTCAGTGATGTTACACACATACCTGATTTAGACTTTTCACACATGGCCCTAAAGAAAAAAAAAAACACGAGTGGAATTGTTAGATGAGTAGAAATAAACCATTTTTCTTCTATTATAGACCCCCATAGAAATGCAAGAACAGAGACTGAAGAGTATGAAATTAAGCTCATTTTTCATTCTTCACTGGTTTACGCTCATCTTTCTTATGTACTCCATTATATACTGATACTGAGCACACATCCTAATGATTCATGCTATTTTTGTTACATAGCACTACATGTTCAGCGTTGGAGCCCAAACCATACTGCAGTCTTGACAACACCAGAGACACTTTGCTCTGTTGCTCTAATCAGTGTATTCAGCTGTGTGGGAATCAGCCCTCAGCATGGTTGTAGAGCTCAATTGACTTACCTAAAACGAGTAAAGTTGTAAGTGCAATTAAAAGTGGTGGCCTTTCTTTTCCCTTCATTGTTCTTTTCTTGAGTGGATCGCCTTTTCAAGCCTGAAAAAGCATAAATTATCTGTGAATTGCCTCTTTTGACTATAGATACTCTCCTGAAATTCTGCAGAAGTTCTCCTTGCTGCCCAGATTGTCAGGCCCAGCACTCTGCAAGTGGAGCTGCTGAACTGTGGAGTGCTCTGAGCACATGCACCGTCTGGCTGTAGACTTCCTTACTGCTTGCTGGAACCGTCTCTCTCTTCAGTTACTGTAAGGGCTTTCAGCCTTTTCTGAGGTGCACTTGAAGGGCAGGTATGGGTCCCCGCAGAGTGAATGCAAGCTCACTGACAGTGGATGTACTTCTGTAAGTTGTCTCTGGCTGTATTGGAAAGCTGCTCTGTGTTTGTGCATGCTGCAGCTTGGAAAGGGAAGCTATAAGGCAACAGATCCTCCTGACATCGCTGCTTACATCCCTTGGAGCCAACAGCAGCCCCTTAATGGTGATGGTGACCAGGGTTCACCTTGCTCCTGGTGTGGTTGTTAGTGCCAGGGAAATTTCAATGATCTCAACGCTTATGAAAGTAAACAGGCTGAGGGATGGGTGCCTTATAAAAATAATCAGAGCTAGTATTAATCACCAGTGAATGAAAACATTCCTCCATCACTAAAAGAGACTCCTAAAATTTGATTGTATTTTTTTCATAAGAGTACCTTTCTTTGTAAGTTGTTACTTTTTTTTTGCCTGGTGTACTTTCTGTCAGCTATCACATTCTGCTTGATGACCAGAAACAGTCAGATCTTGCTTATATTAGAAATTCTCAAATACAAACGTAATGTTTTTCCTCTGTAAGATATCTCACGACAATACAACACAGAGCCTGTGCCACAGATCCCTCCAGCGTTTCAATCAGTCTAGTAATACTTTGCTTCGATGGAACAAACTTTCAAGTATTGTATGTCCTAGACCACTGATAAATCACTGTTTTGAAATTGTGTCATATTTTACCCATCTTTACTTGCTTTATTATTTTAAAAAAAAACTTGAAAGTGATAATGGAATGGCTGGAATTGGCCAAGAACAACATCCAGTTCAACTGGAGATCAGTTGCTCTGCCAAATTATGTGGAAGAGCAGCAGCATACACATTCCTACATACAGTACCAACTTGCTCATTAATAATCATTAACTTAATTATTTAGCTGGAAGAGAAAGCAGCCATACCTCCCCAAACTTACTTTTTCTCCTTCCAGAACCTCCTGAATCCTAGAAAGCAGCGTGTAGTCCATCAACTGACTGCAGGAGTAGCTCTTTCTCCAGTGTCACCTTTTTATAGGATGATATCCAGCTGATCGCAGGGGACATGGTGAGTGATGCCAGGTGACTTCTTTGACTCTGTTCCAAGGAGCAAAGGCCCAGCCCTTCCTGAGGCATCCTCAGGTGTCACATAACTTATGTCACTTGTTAAAAAAATTGAACTCCAGTAGTAGTCTCTGTCCTTCTCCACCCATTCAGCATGGAAATGAGCTGCCTTAAAGTGAGAACAGCTTTTAAGTGGGAAGGGTCAAAGAATTGATGAAGACTTGATAGTGCAATTGCATAGACAATTTCTGTATTATTTTCCCAAGTAGGTTTGTGGGGGGAAGTTTAGCATCTCTGGAGAGCTCAGAACCTGGCAGAACTAGAGCCCTCTGTAGTCTCATGCTATTGAAGTTATCACAAGCCAACAAAGAGGCATCGCATAACACTGTTTTAATAAGCTGCCACTGCAAATACTGGTTGTTATGCACTTATTTTGCTTATTGATACAGGAAACATTTCTAGTCCACTGCCCCTGCCAGAGCAGGGTCACCTACAACAGGTTGCACAGGACGGCGTCCAGGTGGGTTTTCAATGTCTCCAGAGTGGGAGACTCCACAACCTCTGTGGGCAGCCTGTGCCAGTGCTCCACTACCCTCAACGTAAAGAAGTTCCTCCTCATGTTAAGATGGAACTTCCTATGTTCAAATTTGTGCCCGTTACCTCTTATCCTATCACTGGGCACCACTGAAAAAAGACGGTTCCCATCCCCCTGGCACCCTCCCTTTCAGTATGTGTAAGCATTAATAAGATCCCCCCTCAATCTTCTTTTCTCTAGACCAAAGAGACCCAAGTCCCTCAGCCTTTCCTCATATCCTTGCCATTTGTAAGGACTGTGCCAAGCACCTGTTAATGTGGACACAGTTGATTTATTATCTCCTGCCATCTTTCAGAGCTTTACTTTTCAGTACAACAGACCATTTGGAGTCCTGTGAGCCCTATGAATGTCTGTTAAAAGCTTAACCAAATACTTCTTTTTTGGGTGGGTAGTTGCACATGGCACAGCCTGTGATGTGACTGTGAGAGCAGATACTGCTCATGCAGTGAGAATTATGAATTAGATTGTAGTCAGAATCTGCAAAATTTGAATGCTAGCTTGATATTTCCTTTTGTGTTACAAGAGCCCTGAGATTGAGCTGGTGAGAAGTGATAATGGTTCAGAGGTTTTATTATTTTTTTCAGAAGACATTCACTCCCATGCTGTATTTCAAAGCCAAGGTTTGCTTCCTGGTCACCCAGTCTTTAACAAAGTATCATCAGTGATGTGTGATGCACAATATATGAACCAGTCCTGGTTTAAATTAGCACTACAGTGAACTGAATGAGATATTTTGCACTCTCCATTAAGCATTTCAGAAGTTGTCAGGTGCTTCGGAGACCAGCTGTACTCTGATAAGATCTTGCTGGTGAGGTCAGGGAATATTTTGATCTCTGACACGTTAGGTTTGTTACCTTGTGTTCTCAGGACAGATTCCAGAGTTTTATCTTTAATTGAGCAGCTCTTGGAATGGAAAAAAGCAGGAACACAAAAGCCACTACCACTCCTGCTGAGAACTCAACCCAGGGAAGTGGAGTGATACAAAACGTGTGTGTTTTTGTGAAACAGTTTTGAGTTCTGAAGGAAATAACTTCTACTCTGCACCTCACTAGGAGCCAAACCAAGCCTCTGTATAAACCATGAATAAAACCAGGCAGTTGCAAGATGACTGGCTGTGAAGAAATCCATCCTGCGCAGGTCCTGAGAAAGGAGATCTGTGCTCCTGCGCTTGTCTTCTCCCAAGAACTGTTGTTTGACTGGTGGAAGCTCCCATCAGGGCCACCTTCTAACTTGGTTTATGGCAGGGGCTTATTATAGACCATCTCTGTCATCTCCTTTGGCCTATTTAAATTCCCAAATTTCTGATGACATTAAGGGAGTAGCTACATGCTGTTGCTTTCTACGGATCCTCTTCCAGGCCGTTCAATCCAGCGCCAGGAGGCGTTACGTTCCTCTGGGACTCTCATAAGGAGTGAGGCAGACCTTGTCCCATGCCAGAATATATCCTTGGTGATGTGTCTGCTCGTGGCTGCAAACAGGTTAATTTGGGGGGAGGGGGTGGGGGCTTCTGTGTGATTGCTTTTAATGCTGCTTACTTCCCTGTTGATCTGTAAGGACAGCACATGCCCTGAACTTACTTAGTGCTTGGAACGACCTCACCTTCCCCCATGGTTATGTTGCAGGAGCAGCAGCATTTTCCTCATGCGATCTCCACATGGGTGCAGCAGGAAGGTGTGACTGCAGGGCCTTGGGGTTAGGCGTAAGGACTTCATACATCCCTGAGCACGGACTGAGATTTACTCCAAACATAAACCTGGCACACTGCCTGTGTACCCCTGCATTCTCTGGGGCATCGTGAGAGACGGCATTTGAGCTATCAGATATTAGGGCTACAGTCTTCCTACACGAGGTCAAGGATATAAACTTTCTTTAAATGTGGAATCAATCCCACACTTGACTCTGCAGGCACTGAGTTATCAGTATCTCATGCATTACTTCAGAGCACAAACATGTTCTATAACTACAGCAATAAACCAGAGAGCTTTTATATTTTTAGTTGCATTAAGGTAAACCACATAGATTTTATTTGTTGCTTTCCATCATGTTTAATACTTGGCAGTGTAATTTACCTCCTCCTCCTCTGTTGGTGAAAGGAATTTTTAAATTAAATCCATAAATCTTGCCCTTTACAGTAATTTTGTGTTGGGGACAGGCATTTTTCTTTTGTTCTGTTTTGTTTTTTCTAGGCTATGTTCTATATTTTGCTTCACACATATCATCTTAGATGCGTGTGAGGGGCTTGCAATAAAATACCTGTTTGTTTCCTCCTGCACATTAAAAGTATCTGTAAATATGAACATGAGCCTGAGTTTAAACATCACATCCCTGAAACGGATCAGCATCGATTTTTTGTGGCAGCCTGTGTGTACCAAGCAGATCCTCAAAGCTCCTTTCTTTCTAAGAGGAGTGCCCATACCACTGTGACCATCTCTGTTCTCAGTGAACGTTTGTGGCTAGTCCTGCCCAAATGTCACAGGCTCAGCAAGACTAGGGATGTTTTCCTGGGGTCAGTTCTGGGATGTAGGTGGGAGGTAGCTGCTCCTAGGGCAAGCAAATGGGAATGTTTGGCCCCTCTATTGACTCCCTGCTTCATAGGGGTCAGACACTCTTATCCAGTGGGTTGGGAATGCATTGGGATGGGGATTACACCT